TCAACAGTACCTCATATATAATTTCTTTCTAAGATGGACTTTCCATGATGAAATATGTAAAGATGATACTGGGTCATTTTTGCTTTTGTTTCTTAAGATGTATTCGGGCCCTGGCTGGTTTGGCTCAATGGATAGAGCGTTGGCCTGCCAACTGAGGAGTGTGCAGGAGGCAACTGATCGATGTTTCTCTCTCATCATTGATGTTTCTAACTCTCTCCCTTCCTCTTTGAAATCAATAAAATATATTTTTTTAAAAGAAAGAAAAAGACGTATTGGGAATGGCAATGGTCTTAAATAACAGCTTCTTCTCCATGAAAAATTTTACCTAAACTTTACCTATGTTATATTTAGTTTATCATATTTTTACATGTCATTAATGGTTCAACCAGAGCCTTTCATAATGAACCAAAAATTAAAAGAGGCTTATACAATAAATACCAACAAATTAAAAGGCTTAAATATGAACAAGCATCTCTGGTGTAAAAGTGTAGAACTATAACTCTTGATTAAAAGAAAAGTGTAAATTAAGACTTGAGGTAAATCTTCATATTAAATATCCTAAATTTTAACCCAGTTGCTATTTTATTTTCTAAGCAAAATATGGGAACGTATGAAAATGTTTACCTAGAGTATACCATTATTGGTTTCTTAGATTCTACGTTTAAAATATCTCGCACAATACTTCCAATATCTGGAATTTCACTTTATAGGATTTCTATTTGATTTAATGGTATTTTATAGAATTCTTAGAGTCAGCTATTTCATTGAGGATATGAACCTGATCATATTATCTACTAATGCATGTAATAGAAAGTAGAAAATACAAGTTAAATTACTAACCCGTTTTAAATGAAATGTAAGCAAATAGAAACATCAACTTAGTGTAATAACAACTGTCACAGGGAACTATAGCCTAATAAAATATTTAAACAAAAATCATAAAATAACTATTATATGCTGCCACCACACAAGGATGCTCCAAGATAATCTAAAGATTAGGAAAAGGAGCCAAAACTATAACTACTTTTGTTGCTGTTAACACTGATTAACTAGTATTAAGATATTCATATTAGTTTGATGTTAATATAGTAAGCATTAATATTTTAACATATATACTAGGAATGTGTGGTAAGTACTTGACAGTACTCAATGCCTTACTATGTTTCACAGTCTGTATGTTCTGCTGAGCACAGGTTTTTTTTTTTATGGGTCCAATATACCTGTTTTATCTGAGGGTAGATGAAGGATGGGGGTGGGGTTGGAAATTCAGTCTTTTACTCAGAGGTGGAACACTGTCCCCAAGAAATGCTAAACTGTACTTATTACTTTCCAATAAATGATATTATAGGCTACTTTACATAGCCACTTCTTACTTGAAAGACTGCTGTATAAAAATAGTTCATGCTACCATTGCTTAACTGTCCTTAAGTAGTGCATTGCTCTACTGAATGACAGCCAATTGGAATACAGGCGATCAGGGTCATAAACCTTTTGTAAATGTTTCTCTTTATCATATCAGACAGTGAGAGGTGAAACTGGATTTATCCTCTTGCTGGTTTTGTTCATTTTCATCTTTATATTCTTTATATGAGTCATAAGAAGCTCAAAATAGTCCAGTGGGATTAAAAAATAAATAAATTGATGCTCAGAAAAACCATAATAAAACTGCAGAACACCAAAGACAAAGAGAATTTAAGAGTTATTGGGAAGAAAAGCTGGATAAACTACGAGGAAATGACCATTACACTGTTAGATTTCTCAGTGTGAGCATGAAAGCCAAAAGCTAGAACAATTTTCATATAAACAAAATGGTTGAGTATGGCTCTCTCAATGCAACGTAAGTAGATGCTTAACAAAGTGCAATTCAAAACATTTCTTATATTGTCGGCAAGAAGGGGATGCTCCAGGCCCTGCGTGAGCCTGAAGAGGAGGGTGGTGGGAAAAAAACCCAAAACCAGAATGTAAAATCTCATGGAGAATAAACTCTCGATTTTCTAAAACTATGTACAGGCAAAAGGAAAATGTTACTGGAAGGAAATAATTTCTGGCAGTGACTACTTATGGGTGGTAGGATTATGGAAGATTTTAATTTTATTTATTTCTGTATTTTTTTCTATAGTGATGATTTATTACTTATATAATCAAAATATGAATGGTATATGTTAATAAAATAATTAAAACACCAGCTATATTACAAGACAGCTGGAACACTCTGAAAAATAAGAAACCCTGGGAAAGTAAACACGCTGCTCAGACCAGCTGCTGGGACTGCTGTCCAGGAGGCAGCGCCGGGGCGTTCCTGGCTGTGCCCGGCAGCAGGAGCTGGGCTCATGCTGCCCCTGCCCGAGAGTGAGGGCAGCCTTGCTCAGCCGGCGAGGGGCTCACTGTGTCTGCCCTGGACTCACACAATGCCCCTGTAAGGGTCTAGGGTATCTAGTGGGGATTCCAGAAGGAGAGAGAATAAAGAAAGAGTAACCAAAAGTTAGCCAGAATTATACAAAGCAAAGGAGAGCAGACTTAAAAAACTGCGCAGAGTGCCAAATAGGAGAAATTATACGTATCAGAAAGAAATGTAAGAACATTGAAAGTAAGAGAAAATTCTGAGAGGTGCCAAAAAACAAACAAACAAGTACAAAGAATCAAACCGACATCAGGCTTGAGACAATGGCGTAATATACTTAAAGTTTCGAAGAAGAGATATTTGATACTGAAATTTATATGTAACTAAACTGTTACTTACATGTGAGGACAAAATAAATATATTGGTAGGCATTCAAGGTTTCAAAGAATATGCCACATAAAATTTCTCTTTGAAAAAATCTCATGAAGGATTTACTCTAGTGAAATATGAAATAAATCCCTGTGTAAAAAACTAGATATAGAAAGTTAAAGAGAACAAAGAGAGTTCACTGTTATTTAAACATGTCATAATAAAAATAAAGACACTTATAATATATGTATCAATTATTCCATGCACTTAACAAGGGGTGGGAGGAATAGTGGGGGCTGAGAGCATGCTAAAGTATAAATTTTGCTTGCGATGGACTAGGCAGGAATGTTTATTAATGAGCTTTAGACACTGATAGGGAAAAATAAGCATCATTATGAATCTTGAGAAGGAATAGCAAAGAGAAATACAGAAACAGAATATGAAATGCTCAGTTTAGTAGAAGAAAATCAATTTATCCAAAATAAATTGGAAAAGGAACAAAAAAGAAGCAAGGCTACTAACAACCACAACCACCACCACCACCACCACCACCACCACCACCACCACCACCACCACACACACACACACACACACACTGAAGTCGCCAAAATAAGCCTTGGTGGAATAGTAATTATTGTCAGTGTAAATAGATTACCAATTAAAAGACAGACTCGCAGAGTGTTGGGTGGGGGGCGCGGGGTGGATAAAAAGCTAACAGTTTTTTCTACAAAAAATAGGTGTGAGACAAAAGGAAAAGAAAATGAAAACAAAGGAATATAATAAGGACTAACAGGGAAATATGAACTAAAAGAAAGGAGAGGTAGAGCATTTAGAACTCTACCAAATAAAATTTATGGTTAAAAACCATCACAATGAAAACAAAGGAAATAAAATTTAGAAAAAATAAGAGAATAATTATGAACGCATATACACATAAATGCATCCTTGAACACTATTAAGCAGCAATTGACATGTATATGTATGTTAACCACATTTGTTCCTTAAATCTGTGCTTTCTAGTTCTTTGATTAGTTCTAGTCCTCCTTGGCCTTTGTGTGTCTTATTTACATTCATCATTTTTCTCCTTACTTGAGCTTTAGCAGTAAATGAGAATGTTATAAATAGTTGAGAGAGAAAAAAGAGGTTGCATTCAAATAGTCCAGGTTTTGTTGAAATATTTTTACTAAAGCTACTTGAAAATGGGGTCAAAATGAAATGAAAGCACTTACTATAACTTTCATTTAACCATTCAGCCTCTCTTCTCATTTCTCCCCCAGTAATGGGAGTCAGACACACAACCTTCCTAATGTTCCAAGCTTCCTAATGTTCAAGTAATCTGTAAGCTGCACAAGTTAAAAATCAAGCAGCTAAAAAAATCCACAGACAACTGTCCTCTAAATACTGGCCTTTGTATAGCGCCCATGAATCAATTATATTTATTCCTAAATTTTTGAAGGAGTCTATTTTTATAGTCCTCGATTTTCTTGTAGAAAAGCAAAATAGCAACCTGAAATTAGTCACATGAGGGCATTTTATAAAAGAGAATAAAATTATTTCCAATCTACATTGCGTCTTAATCTTCCTACTTAATCAGCTTACTATATATAAAATATAAATACAAAAGTAATAAACATACCAGCAAATTACTCTGCCTCTAAATGCTTTGATTAGTCACTAATAACAATCTGTGGAGTTTTCCTCTTTGGAGATTATTATTTTCAAAAAGCATCTCATGCATTACTTCAGGATCCTAATTCCACATTCACTTGCACATGACGATTTCTCCTTCACCATACTCTATTTCTGCATTTGCAATAAAAGAATATACTAATACTGTCATTACCACAAATAAAAATTCTCACTGTATTCTACAATTCTCAACATTCAAAAGTGAAACTATATAATTAAAATGCAACCATCTCCACCCACCTTTTAGAGTCAACTTTGTTAATACAGAAGTGAATCATTAACTAAGGAGCATTGGGTATCCAAGGACTAAATATAGTCGCTTTGTTTCTTCCATCATATATATATTTTAAATTCCTTTGGCTCCTATCTGTTGGGAAAAGGCTGTCAGGTGAGCCTAGGCTAATAGATTCTCCAGTGGCTTTGTTAGGGCTCATGTCATACTATTAAAACCATGTGCCTTGAAAATGGCATAATATATGTAGCGGAATCCTGTCAACTCTAGATAATCAGACTCCGTTTGGCTGCAGGAGCAGATGCAGATTAGAGAAGAGATATGAATATGCAAATCACAGCGGCCCCCTTTCAGCACCGCTGCTCCTACCTCTAATGGCCCCCGCAGAACGTCCGCTCGTTCGGCTCCTACTTCCAGTGCCACGTCCACAGAGGCGAAGGGACGGCTGGCCATCTGCTGTCGTTCTCGAAGCAGTTGCTGGCAAGAGTTAAAAATGATTTGTTTTAAAATAGGTTTACACACATTACATTCAACAATATCTTGTTCTATTTTTAACCAATGACAGTCAAAATTTAAGAATCAGCTAATGCACATATTCATATCTACATCACTCAACATGAAAATTTTTTTTCTCCATGGCCTGGATTACCAGTACATGCCATAGAGGCTTTAAGTGAATGACCTACAATGAATGGCCTGCAATGAACTTCTCCCTGACCTCCATCCAGCAGGCCTAATGAAATGTGCTCAAAGCATTTTGAAAACTTCCAGTAAGAGGTGTTGCTTAAGTGAGAAGTGCTATTATGATAATGGCCATGCCAAGTTTCTCCCGCTCTAACTCATGCTTTTGTCTTAGCTGAAAGCAAACAACAGTAAAAATGTTTAAGGAAAGTTAATGAAAAGTTGTCAGAATGCGTTAATAGAGATGAAAGGAACATATGCCTTCCAAGACTAAGCCTGGTAAGTCATCAAGGTCCCCTATCCATTGCTATGGAACCAGCAGTTGTTACTGACAGCATTTAGAACATTATTCAAAGCCTCCATGTTCATGGTTTGAAATGAGGAATGAGTAGTAGTGTGTCGCAAAAATTTTGTGCCACAGTTCCACCCCCAGATATTTGTTTCTTTCCCCATTTGCCTATTCTGGGCTTTGGCCAAGCTAACACCAATAAACTAGCAAGTCCCAACCAATGTTCAAGCAACTTTATATTTCTGCCTCTCCTTGAAATTATAATATTCACTAAGTCATGATAAGAAAAAATTGATGACCGGCACTAGATTTTGCAAATTGCGCCCTTCTCATTCTATACAGCTAATACAACTATTATTAAATATTAAAAGTGGATGAGCAATGCAATTAAATACCCTTTCAAATGAGAAGAAAACTGTATCACTGAAGAAAGGCAAAACCCTTGAACACAATGAAGGGCTTCATTATTCACTGGGATTTTTTAAATTCACTGGCATTAACTTAAAATGCTAACTGGTCTATGAATGTTTATGTATAGAGTACTGAAATGTATCATTCATAAAATTCCCTTTTAGATGATGAAGGGATGCCAGGCAATGCCTGATGGCAGTTCATTATCTAAGATTTTGTTCTAACACTTGTGGCACAGCAGTGATGCTGTTCATGAAATGTGTAGCTAAAACAGAACTTGAGGCCTTGCTTTGTTATTATTAAAAAGAGACCATCCACGTGCCAATATGGGATAAAAATAACACAACTATTATGGAGCAATGGTTTTTCTTTTAAAAAAAGAAGTAAGGAAGATGTACTAAAACATTTAAAGTAAACATAAATGCGATCTAAATCTCCAAATTATTAGCTTTAATATAAACTCAAAATTTATTTAAAATACAGCTGCTAGCAAGTAGAGTCTTATTTGTGCCTTTCTCAATGGGAGAGGCCAACTGATCTGAATAATGTCTACGCAGAATGCAAATGTAATGTTATTTCAAACTAGAGGCTCAGTGCACGAAATTCGTGCATGGGCCGGGTCCTTAGTGGCTGCTGGCCGGGGCTTCCCTTCCCCCGGGCTGCTTGCCACCAGCCACCACGGCCCCCTGGTCGAACTCCTGGTCGAGCTCCAGGTCGAGGGGACAATTTGCATATTAGGCTTTTATTTTATAGGATGTCAAGGGACACCAACTATAGAAAACATCATGCTCTCTGTCTCTGGTAAAAACACAAATGTGCGTGCGCTCACACACACTATACAAAGTAACTTTCCTATAGTAATATGCAAATAGCTTTGAGAAAATTGTAAATTATAATTTAGGTTTGAAAACAATTTCCTAACATTTGTATTAAAAAGTTTCTTTATTAATACTAGTTGTCCTCGGTTAACAAATGGTAGCTCATACAATTACATGATTTTTAACAAAATGAAGTTTCTGTTTCCTCATCTTACCTTTATCCTACACTTAAAAGGTCTGCAAAATACAATTAATAAATAGTCAATACCACAAACTGTAATATAAATCTATAAATATTCCAAATTTACTATCTCTGACAAAAAATAGTTTCTGAAATATATTATTGTTACCCTAACATTTATAATAAAGAAAAATCAGTGACAGTCATAGTTATTGTTCATCTTTTTATTTATTAGAATACAAAATTATTTTTTAAAATTCCAGTTTGTCTTCTGAGCTTTGCGTTTCAATTATTTTTTTTAAGAACTGAATGCCTAGTATAGTACTCTTTACAAAGAAGGAAAAAAATAACAATTTTCTTGCCCAGTATCTAACCCTATAGTTTGTAAACAACACACATTAAGATAAAATTAGGGCAGAAGGTGATATACAGTGCAGGACACAAATAAGGAATTAACTGGATGAATTTACTCCAAGGTACTCAGGAGAGGGCTGGTTCAAGGACTCTAGCCAGCATACTGAATTTCTGACTTTGAGAAATTAATGTAAATGTTCTGACTGGGGATCTTTGAGGTGATGGCCTAAAATAATATAATGGGGTGACAATATTATCTGCTACGAATAACTGGCCCTCAGTATCAACAATTGTCCCCCCCTTTTGCCACTTAGTATCTGTATGCATTACTTCCCGGTTTTTGCCCCCTCTATGTCAAAACAAAGAAAAGATAAACAGCAGGCTTACAACTTAAAATTTTGTCCAAATTTAATATAAATACTGACAGGTGATCTAGCTGCACTTTATTCAGAAAGACCTGAATACCAGTTTGTATACTTGTTAACTATTTCAGCTTAATTGAATTATTGAGACCTCTCGAAGCCTCAATTTTCCCCATCTGTGAAGTGGGGACATTAACATTGCCCATACCTACTCCTATACCTCAGAGGGTTGTTCTAAGTCCCAGTTTCTCCACCCACTACCTAATGGACCATAACCAAATGAGCTTTTAGGTCTTTTTCATGCTTATTCCCTCTGGATAAAAAGGAAATAATAATATAAGGTTGGGACTAATGAGATAATGCAATCGGTCTGCTCAGCATAGAGGCTGGCACACTGTGAGCACTCTATGACTATTCATTGGTACAATTATTATGTCAAATTTCAAGCACTAATTTGGTCTTTCATGATGGCACACTAATTACCACAGGCCCGTTTCCTCCAGCACTAGTGACACATTTAGCTCTACTGGTCTCCCTTTTAACAAATGTTGCAAATTCATGTGACAGTTGGAAAATGTCATGATTGTGGTAAAATAAATTTAGATTTGGAACTGCTTTCTGCAAATCGCAACTAAGAATGATAAAAACTCAACCTAAACATTAGAAGAATATAGAGTACTTTTTAAAGAACTTTAAAAAATAATTTATTTTGTGATTATGATTTTTATATAAAATGAAGCCTAACATTTTCTACATCCATATAAGAAGCCATATAACAGATGATCTGTTTTATAACTAATCTGCTATTGCCAATTATTCAACAGACAAATAAAGCCAGAAGAACAAATTGATCGTAATACAATAGATAATAATCATGCTGCCATAAACATTGTTGTGAAGAAAAATTAAAAATTAAAGAGATGTTCTTAGTAACATGTTTGTTGTCCGTAACTGTTTTACTATTCAAACCTCTTACAAATCTGAAATTAAAAATAAAATAAAAATCGATGCTTCAATATGGCAACCAAGAATATTAATTCTATCAAGTATATACATATGTATTTCTTCTACTCAATATTACTACTTCAATTATTGCAGCATTCTCCAAATTTCATACTAGCCAAATTTTCAACCACCCTAAAACCATACAAACAACTCCCTAATAGATTTTAGGATAATAATCCATAAAAAACACACCCAACAAAATAGTAATTAACTCTGTCCCCAATTGCCTTCATATCTCCTTCTTGCTATGTTTAGGTTCTATTCATCCTTCTCCCACTTCCAAAAGTCCTTCACCCCACCCCAAGCTTGACGTGATCATGATTCTTATGAATTATTTATTAGATTAGTGTGATGCCATCTTTTTATATCTTCATGCTTCTCTGAAGTCTTTAATGCACATATCTATGTTTATTTGGTTTTTATTCCCTACAGCACATAGTTGGCAGTCAACAGTATCTGATAAATGAACAATGAATGAGTGGATTAAAATATAAAACTCTGTATCATGTGAATGTGAGTGAAGACAAGTTATGAAAAAACTAATTTCAATTATGAATTAGCCTTTAAAACTATGATATGTCCTTTATTATTTTAGAATTTATGTCTTATCCTCCAAAGTAAGTGGATATTGATTTTTTTAGGATGGGACAATTTTGTGGACCTTTATCTCAAATCAACATCAAGTTTCATATTGCTCCTCATCTACCTTATCGCAATACTGAGATTATAAAAAATATCAGCATAAAGTCATCATAATACATTCTTTTAAAAAATATATATATTTTTTTATTTGATTTCAGAGAGGAAGGGAGAAGAAGAGAGAGAGAGGAAAACATCAATAATGAGAGAGAATCATTGATTGGCTGCCTCCTGCACACCCACTACTCGGGATTGAGCCTGCAACCTGGGCATGTCAGTGCCCTTGACCGGAATTAAACCTGGACCCTTCAGTCCACAGGCTGATACTCTATTCATTGAACCAAACCAGCCAGGGCTACATTCATGTTTTTTAATAAAAATTATATTCCTAAGTTTTTGGAAAGGTATAAAAGGAGCAATCAAAATGATTTATTGTTACTCTTGAGTTTGCATCATAAAATGAACGTGTTTAAGTTAGATAGAAATTAAGCAGCATTTAATAAAAAAGAGTATTTCTCTTACTAACACAAATACATTTACAGAGTAATATAAATAATCAATTTTGTTCTTTTGGAGGAAGTAAAGAGAAGTTGCAACATATTTAGTGTGAAATTCTATCATTTTCTATAACTATATATGCAAGGGACAGTCCTCAAACTCTTACTTAGAATACTGGGAATCTTTGGCTTCTAGACTTCTAGTCTGAATTGGTTTTTACAGATAATGACGCTAGTACC